TTGGAACGTTACTCATCAGCTGTGTGGATGTGCAGATAAGATAACAGAGATGATGCAGCTGTGTCTGTTGTCCCTCATGCAGTCTGTCAGTAGTTCTGTGGAATATGCAGATAAGGTCATGACTAATAGAGAGGATATGAGGGAAGCTAACCAGGAAGAAGTGCTAAGACTAATGCTGTTGTTTAGCCACAGGACCTAAAGTACCTCCAACCCCACCCTATGATAGACCCTAAAAATTTATTTTCCACCTATTACACTTGTAATTTCTTCCATTTCTTGGGTTTAAAGAACATGGTTTATGACTTGTAACTCCTGTGCTACGGGGTCAGGAAGTTATAGTGGACTGTTAGGAGAAAGAAAATTAACACTTCAGGAAAATAATTTGGAGACAGAGGAAGTAGTTGAAAGATAGAGAAGGGCAGTGAGGATTGTATGGAGAAAATGACAAGCTGTGTGTGGAATTTTTAAGTAAACAAGAAAAATTGCTAAGGAAGGAACCCTCCTCTTTAGGGTAAACAATACTTTCACTCTCACCTAAACCAGTCTAAAAGTATTGGGGCCAGCGTACAGCAATTAGAGGTTGGCACAACAGACATCATAAAAAAGATAAACAAGACCTATCATGTCATCTTGGAGCAGAATACTTCTGCATACTGGTAGGAGATTGAGACTGCTAATCAAAAACATGATGCTAAGAAATAAAGAACTGAAATGTCCTGCATATTGTTTTGTTCTCTTCTGTTGCTCTAAAAAACCAAATGTTATTTCTCTGCAAAATATCTATCTAATCTAAACATTCTGACTTTTTTTTAATTCACCTTTGGGAAAACAACTCAGTACAGGAAGGTATTTTATTTATTCTTTGACATAAACATTTTGATTACTTAGGAATTAGTGTTTGAATTTGAACTAGATTGCTACACTTGCTCTTCCTCCCACTGGAAAATTGCTCCCCTTTCTTCTTCTTCAAAAAAAAAAAGTATAACTGAAGCAGACTGATTCTAGAAACAGTCTGCCAAATCCCTGTTGGGATTGCTTCCGTTGCCCACCTCTTCCTTTCTACCCGTTTTAGGATCTATAGGTAGATCCTAAAAGAAAACCCCACCAACTAGAGAATATAACTGTAGGTTTTTCTTTTGCCTCTTGGAGCAGTAAAGGATGTTTCATTCATTACTTAGAGAAAAACGATTCTAATCTATCTAAACACCAAAAAATTACAGCTATCATGAGCCAGTTCTCTCATACACCTACACTCATCGCAGGCCACGATATCTTCACACCTACTATTCCAACTCAAAATCTTTAATACCATTTTGGCTAACATAGGCTTACATATTACATTATATTATACATTACATTATATGCCGGCTTACAAGGTGCTAATTTCCATCATTTTAATTATTTGTTTTGTTAAATCTGAGAAATGCACAGTATTTGCACACTGAAAAAGCCTCTACTAAATAGACTTACTGTGTTAAATGGCTTTACAATCTTTTACCCTCTGCCATCTTCTACTTCTTTGTCTTGCATTACTCATTTTCCTGAAACACTGCTGGTGTTCTGGAAGAGAGCTTAGAGCTTCTGATTCTGCAGAACTCTTACTTGCAGGAGTTTTGGGTATATTTCATTCTAATGTGATGGCCTTCTTGAAATAAATCACCACAACATCTTCCATTAAAATTTAACCATGAAAAGCCATGTTTAACATTAATCAAATACATAGGAAAATCAGGGAGATAAAGGCCTTCATAGCAGGTCTACTGACATATTTAAAAGAGGATATTTAGATCCACTGTACTGTCTTACAACTGTACATACCCTTTATAGATAGCAAAGACTCTGGACTCTTTAGGCTGGTTTGTCTTGTGAAGAAAGTAGAATTCATCTGATTTTTGAATCCTTGGACATTCCAGGTTTTATTAAGGCTGCTTATAGCCTTGCATCAAGTAAGATTAGATTCATTCTGCCAGAACTTCGGCAGCTCCTACAGTTTCTGTCAAGCTTTTTACATCTCAAACCTCTACAGAACAGCCACATGAGAACCAGTACAGACTTTTCTTGATGTGCCAGTCCATTAGGAGAATACCTTAAAGGTTTGCCCTGAGATCAGTTCAGATTGTCTGAATGAAGAGGGTTACTCCAGCAGTAACTAGTGTGTGGTTATGTAGCATGGTGGCACACCAGCAGCTGCAGACATCCATGAATCCATAAGCCAAAGGTTCTGATTTAAAGAACCTTGTAGGTATGCCTGTTAAAATGGGAAATACATATATTCATCCATTAGACCAAGACCTCTGAAACTGTCTGTACAAATAAATTGGAGCAGGATGTCTGGATGGGGCTTTATAGTTAGAATTTTCAAATTGGAATCATAGTAGTCTAGATATCACTGAGCGTCAGAATACTGCAGCTAATGTTAGAACATGGAAATCTGGAAACTTGATTGCTGGTGGGAGATTTGAAATTAAGTAACAGAATTTATAATTATATAATATAAAGTCTTTCATATGTTTAGCTTATTTTATTTAGTGGTTATGTTTTATATTTTTTTAGGTTGTTCATAGAGACCTGAAGCCTAGCAATATTCTTTATGTTGATGAATCTGGTAATCCAGAATCAATTAGAATTTGTGATTTTGGCTTTGCAAAACAACTACGAGCAGAAAATGGTCTTCTGATGACTCCATGTTACACAGCAAATTTTGTTGCACCAGAGGTAAATACTAGGATAGCTTATGTGCTTTCATTTATTTTGTTGGGATTTTTTTTTCTAGTTGGATATTTATTTGGTTCTTGTATAACAAGTGAAATCATTTTGTAAATATTAAAGATCTGAGATCTCATTACTTTGATGACAAAGCATTTCTAAGCATTTTTTTTCAGGAAAAAAATATTTGTCTCCCTCAGGTTTTAAAGAGGCAAGGTTATGATGCTGCATGTGACATATGGAGCCTTGGTGTTCTACTTTATACCATGCTTACTGGGTAAGGGTAATTTTAGTTTGCTTTGCTGTAGAATAGCAGACCAATGTAAACAAGAGTAACAAATGTAAGCCCACTGTTGAAGATGTTTCTATCAAGGCACTGATTAATCTCAGCTTTGGCTTCAGTGTAAGTAGAATATGCTTTGTCTTTAGCAGTATTCAACTTTTCAGGGACTGATGAAAAATTCTTGGCTTCTCATGTCTCCTTTATTTTACGTGTTTGCTTTCTGCTTTATGGTGATTTAGGTGTAAGAATTGATCTATGTGAAAAATGAGGTGATTAAGCAGCATATATGTCAAAAGAAATGTATGTTGCAAATATAATTGCAATGCATTGAAACATGATTGTGTGCAAAATTCAACCACTGGATAGTATGAAGTGATGAGTTAGGATATAGTAAGTGCAATAGAAATGCATTCATATATGCAGCAGAAATTAATTGTATAAAAGATGAGGAATAATAAATTCATCTATACTTCTACAAGCTCAAAAGATAGTTGCTATTGTACCTGCCAAATAGATTATTATTTTATGCTAGATTATTCAGATTGCTACTTTGGTTAGGCGTTAACATTATCAGAGACATTTTGGCACTTCAAAATCAGTAAGTGACAAGTATACTTGTTTTTAAATATATCTCTTTCTTGGTTGTGGATATTCTGGTGGCAGCAAGAATGTTTGTAGTGAAGCAAGGAAAACTGTTGCACCTTCTTTCCTCTAGTATCAAACCAGCATTTATTCTTTTTTCAGACTCATAAGGTCTTCACATTTAATTTTATAACAGCTTTTTTTATTACTTCATTAAAATATGACGGCTTAAGGAATACTTAAGCCATAATAAGGAACCACCAGTACTTAAGACTGCTGTAGGAAAAAAATCTGGTTTTCAGACCAGATATAGAAGGAATACATACAGTAAGAAAAGATCTGTAGTCAGTGCCATGCATTTTCATGAGTTAAAAACACTTTCTTTTTACAGCTATTTGACCAGCTGTTGCCTATATAATCATGTTGAATAATTACAATCATCATATTTATAGTAACTATTGATGTCTAGGTTACTGAGGTTATTAACATTTCAATTGTTTGGTTAAACAGCTACACTCCCTTTGCAAATGGTCCTGATGACACCCCAGAGGAGATTTTGGCCCGAATAGGTAGTGGAAAGTTCTCGCTCAGTGGTGGTTATTGGAATACTGTTTCAGACACAGCTAAGGCAAGTATATTTGCTTTGTCCTTCGGGAGCTGAGAAATGTTGTATGTTGCTTATGATGTATATGTTATATCATATCCAAATGGGTAAGTTCCACTCATGGTTACTTTAAAATACTGATCTAATTATGTGCCTAGAAGTTTGTTCCTTCTTTGTGATCCTTTCATGTTTAAGCAGTCACTTGCCATGCAGGGAGAAAGAAACATGTGCCTTATTACTATAGGAGTTAGCAGCTGCCCTTAGAAGTAGAGTGTATTCTGTCAGTCATGACACACATGTGCCATCAGCCGTGGTGAGAAATGCTCTGAGAAAAGTTACCGTAGAAGCATAACACTCAGGAATCATATAGTCAGTCTAAATCAGGAGAATGAAAATAATACAGTAATTACCATATGCTCTACTGGCTCAGGATAGAAAAATAACTTGTTTTTCACATTTTTGTGCTTGGGTCAGCTCTTCAGAGTTTATCTCATACTCCTTCACTGGGATTTGAGCAGTTTATTCTTTTGGTCCTCAAGGATGTAGTATCTACTTTTAAAAAAAAAAAAAAAAAAAAAAAAACAAACTGAAGTGTATTATACTTTATACAAAGTAAATATAGGCTTTTTTTTTGAAAACTACATTTTTTACAACAAATAGACTCTAAACTTAAGTGTGCAATGTCCTTTATGCCCCTTCTGTGAAGCTATGATAAAGTGCTAAAGTTTTCCCAAAAAATCATTTACATATGTTGTGCTTTTTCTTGCCAATTGATTTGTGATGTGCTTTCTCATATACTTCATAACTCAGCCATTTCCCACAAATCCTGTCATTCATGTGATTGCCAAATGAACCTGTTAGAATAACATGTTTACACTAATCTGTTAGCATCTGCTTTTTCTTCCTTCAGTGCCATTCTGCTCAGTTGTACTTGGGAGTCCAGAAGCAACCAAAAAACCCAATGGCTATGAAAAAAAATCTTAAATTCCTTTTTAATATTATCTTTATGTTCAAATTCTTAATTTGAATTACAAAATAAAGAATGTTTTTATATGAAAATAATTGGTATTGCTACTGTAACTTAAATTACCTTAAATCCAGTTGTAATCAACTAAATGCGCTTCTCCACAGGTAATTGCTTAATGTAGGAAGGTTTTGTTTTACACTAACTGACTGATATCTAAAGTAATCTATAAAATATTATGTTGCTGTATAAATTTGTTTTCACCATCTTGACTGTTGTATGCAATTCTCACGGCCATAATTTGGAGGGGAAAAAAAAAAGCAAACACCACAACAACAAAACAACGCAGAAGCAGAAAAAATGATAGAAAGGATGTACCAAAACAAAGGTGAAAATCTGATCAGATGTCAAGAGCCACTTCTCTGTAAAGAAAGTCAAAAAAAGTGTTTCATCTTATCAAGGTTGACTGACACAGCATACAAAAGGGATCGTTTCTCTGGTGGTACACATAAGGAAAGACTAATTCCTGTTTTCTCATGTGATGATTTTATTTGACAAATTGGGAATCATTCAATTAATATATTCTGCCTAAGTTAGAAAACAAAACAGAATTGAAAACCTGTACATGTGCTTCACAACTTAATTGTGAAACAACTGTGAAAGGTGTTTGAGAAAGGGGGAGGAAACAAACGTATAAGCAGCAAAATTAGTTCAGAGGGGATGAGGCAGAAATCACTAAGGGTACATAAACAGCCAGAAGGAGTACTAAAATTCAGCCATCAACTTCCATAGTTGTTGAAAGATTTGTTAGACACTGGGAAGTCATGCAAAGGGAAGGATCATCTCTAATTTCTTAATTTTTCCTTTTTCAATACTTATTTCCAAGATATCTGCTATTTGTCATTGTTAGAATTAAAATACTGGTACAGAGAGACCTCTGCTCTAGCTCAATGTTCATATTTTTTATGTTTGTGTAATTTGCCTCACTTCACTGGATACCTTCCTGTTGTGTTACCAAACATCCATTACGTCACATAATTCAAAGATGCAGTGTTAGCATTGCTGAGCAGTTTTTCAGCTGTTTCAAAGTGATGTTATGAAGATACTTTTGTAACACTTAAATCTTCATTTTTTAACTGTAATCTGTGGTAAAGCTGAAGTTTTACTTGCATCAACTCTGCTTATTATTGACAGGACCTTGTTTCAAAAATGCTTCATGTTGACCCACATCAAAGACTGACTGCAGCCCAAGTTCTTAGTCACCCCTGGATAGTTCACTGTGACCAGTTGCCTCAATACCAGCTGAACAGGCAGGATGCTCCCCATTTAGTGAAGGTAAGCAGAAACTTGTTCAGCTTACCGTTTAGCCAACATTAATGTAAACAACAGGACTCAATGTATTATGTTTCCTCTACTATTTTAAAAATACTACTATTTAAAAGTTGTTTTGACTGGGAATTGCAATAAGCTATAAAATGAACTTGTAATATATAATAGTTCTTCATAACAACCCACTCATGGAGAATAAATTAATACTTCTTTTAAATACTTTCATTTTCTTAGGTTTGAAATTTATTGGACTGATTTACACTGGGAGGTTTAACTGCTTTAAAAACACAGCATAGAAGTAATCATTCTTCTGATAGTGAAAAATCTTGTCTGGTGACTACTGGGAAGCTGAAAAACAGTTTGGCTGATTTTACAGTTTTTAGGGGAGCTAGTTACTAAAAGAAAACAGTGTACTTCATGATCACAGTATAAGCTAGAAAGAAGTCAAAAGGCAGCATTAATTAATATGGTACTGTTCTGCACGCTGTCTGAAACACCATCTGGTTTGGACCCTGATGAACTTTTTCACTTTGCACAAGCAGAGAGAAATTTAAAAAAAAAAAAGTGAATTCTGCTTCTCTGTATTCCATGCTGCCTTCAGTCCTACATCCAAAAATCTGTTGTGCAACACAAAAGCAATCTGAAGAATATAATTAGCACTGAGTCAGCTATTAGAAATTTCTAGCATCTAAAAACACAAATGGAAAGAGAGGGAACTTCTGATCCGATGGCTCACAACTTGATATTTTTTTTTTTTTTAATAAATCTTAATGTAGTGAATAATGTGGGCAATTTTTAAATAGTTTGTTGAAAACTGAAATGTTAAGGTGTGTGATAAGCAGAGACAGCCTACCAATGGGATTTCATTCCCCAGCTATCTCACAAAGCATGGAAATAGAACTTAATTTAGCAATCCATCTTATACCTTCTGGGTTTGGCTTTCTAAGCAAGGTAAAATTGCATTAGTTTGATCTGGAAAGTATTTATCCCCCCAAGAAACACTCGCTTCTAACACTGGTGTGTGAGAAAGGCAGTGGTACGTTTCTGTTCTGTCGATGGACGTAGCCTGGAAGTTAAAACTCGTCCAGAATCTCTGGCGCTTAGCACTGTGCCATCTCTAGTGTGTGCCTCAGTCACAGCCTACTCTGCTTGGGTTTTTTCCCCTCTGCCTCACAGGGTGCAATGGCAGCAACTTACTCCGCTTTGAATCGTAATCAGTCACCAGTTCTGGAGCCAGTTGGCCGTTCTACTCTTGCTCAGAGGAGAGGTATAAAAAAAATCACCTCAACAGCCCTGTGAAGTGACCTCAGCCAGATATTTGGTACCATGGCGTAAGATGATAGCACAAATAATGGCGACAGGTAGCACATATCTGACAGATACCTGCAAGCACACTCTGTCCCAGCTGGTACCTATAATGCTGCTGCTCCTGCTGCTGCTGCTGCTTTCATCTATTCCCGCTTTAAACTGTTGATGGCAAGTTACTGATCTTATGGGGCTTCAAATGGAGTGACAAGTGGAGACACAATTAAACCCATCATGCTCACAACTGCATAAACCAGAAGAATTCCGAACGCCACCTCTGTCAAAAATACACTGAATAAAGCACTCTGCACCACATAGCATTATTTTTATAAGGAATATTTCTCATCCCCTAAAATGTTCTCTGTTACAGGTAGAGATGGACAGTTTATGTTAAGCACTTAGCTTAAAGAATCTGTTTATATTAGCACTATATACTTTGTGCCATCCAACATTTTGTATGTTTTTGTAAACAGTTCACAAGCAGTACATCTCCGTGCTGTTTTCTTTAATGTATACATGCCTTGTTTTACTTAGATATTATTAATCATTTTGACAATTAAGTCTGCTTAAACAGTTCACCTGGATTAATCAGTGTTGTTGGACAGCTCTAAAAGAAGCCTGACTGTTAAAACAGCTCTTGAATGTAATACTATGAATATGTATTTCTCCTTGCCTATGTCTTTTCTACATTTCCATGGTTTTGACACTGCATGTCACGTTATGAAAATCAGGATACTGTTTACAGTTCCAAAATTTAAACAGTGGATCTCTCGCCATACTATATATACAATAGGTAATATAACCTGGAGAGCAGATAATTTGCTCCATATTTCACTCTATCTTTTATTCCCCCTCCCTTTCCTTTTATTCTCTCCCATCTAATCTCTGGACTCAGGAATCATTGCTAAATACTTCTATATTGTTTATTCTTATAATCCATTGTTAATATTTTATCTCTATTCTATGACATTTGTTTAAGCTGCAAAGGATTTGTTCAGTGAATGCTGGCATTATAGAAGAAAGGCAACTTAGAAGATAAAACACATTGTCCGCTAATAAGCAGAAGCCTGCAAAAAGTGGATTTAAACTGTGTTCATTGCTGTTGCAAAACTTGATGTATCCAATGTTCTGTCAGTTATTTTCTAATAATTTTAATTGATATCCAAAGCAAAATGTGAGGAGAGTCATCCAGGTCTGTCAGGAGTTAGAAAAGGGTCATCATAATTTACCATGGAAATAGTATTGTCCCAGTCAGGTAAGACAAAGCTATTTGTTCAGAAGCAAGTTTGTCATGAGGGTGACAGTCTCATTTTAAGTACTAATATAATTTTTCATACTCTTGGCATCTTGAGTGCACCTTGATGGTTAGTCTTGAAAGACCAAACTGCCCACAGGAGGAAGCACACTGATGTGCATTTTGGACTCAGTGCATGTCCCACTCCACCCAAGTGGTATGTTACATCAGCTCATTCCAGATATGAAAATGGCTGTTTCAAATTCCAGCTTTAATAAAGATGGATCTGGGTGAACAGCTCTATGTGAATAATACAATTTGAGAACTAAAAGGTGCAATTTTGTTTTGCATAAGAAAGTATTTTCTTGATGTAGTGGTATTAAATTTCTTCTATGATGATTAATTTGCCAGTTTCCCTGAATTTATCAGAGGCTTGTTGAAAGGGAGAATCATCTTTGTGACACCACAGGTTTGCTCTGAATGAACGTGAATGTTCCTTCTGCCACAAGTTTTTCCAGTTTCCTTGGAGAAGCTTCCATTCTTAGACTTGCAAAGGATCCCAGTTTTATTGCCCTTAAAACTCTATTAAATATTTAATCCATCATGTAATTGATAAGTAATTGATGTTTATGAACAAGGATTCCTAAATTACCTTAGATTTCAGAAACTTGAACATACAGCTCTTCCAAGCAATCAGCATTTTTCCCGTGCTCGGTGCATTGATGTTCCCTTTAGATGTTTGTCTACCCTTCCTTCAAGAGACATCTTGAACTAGAAGCAGAGAAAGGCCATTTTAGTTTTTCTTTGGCAGTGTCTGCACTTCCAGAGGCATTTAGGAAAACCGTACCTCTCAGAAAATGCATTTTCAGCTCTGTGAGCGATTTTAAGTCAGGCTGACCAAAATGAAGAAACCACACCCTCTGGAGTGGCTTTTAAATGTGTGAATATGAAGATCATTGTATCTAGTCAACAAACAATATTTAAAACCAATTCTGTTGAAATAAAGGTATGACAGTACTTCCTAGTGGGTCAGTAACACCATTTCTGTGTAGGAAGGAATTTCTCCTGTGTTCTCAGTGAGTATATGTAGGTACCTCTGAAAGAACAGACCAAAAGGAGGAGGTGTTAAGCTGCTTCACTATTGCCAATATCCATGTTAAAATAATGTAAAAGTACTTTTTCAGTAGTTTGATTTAATCCAGATTTTGTGGCCCTTGAGCACACTGGTCGTTAGCCAAATAGCAAAGCAAAGTGAACTCCTACATTTTATGTATCAATGTTCTCAAATAAGCTGTTAATTTACTCTAGACTTTACAGAGGTTGCTAACACATCATGTATCGAGGAGCATTGGATGAGTATTTTAAATGCTGATAAAACAGGGCAGTTTAGCACATGTTAACTTGGATGTGTGGAAGTCTTAGATCCCCACTATATTTTAAAGTTACTTTGTGAACCAAGATATGAAGGGCTACCAAGGTATAAAGGGCCCATTTATACAGGAGGTGTGTTTTACAGGCTAGACTTACACGGGTTTATGTACCTCCTGTAAGCCATGTTCACAACTTATTTTATGGTTTTGTAGCTGCAGTTGGTGGAAGCTATAAAGAAATCCACATAATGCTTTTTTGAATCCCAGTACCTTTCTATGAGAATGTGAAGTTATACACAACACCTGTCTAAATTTGTTGGTGGACAGCGTTTTGGTCTGCAAAGCATAGCAAGTGACTCCAGGATAGTCACAGGGGACAGAAAGGAGAACTGCAGATACATAGGCCATGGGTTTGTTTTGTTGTTTTATGTTGTTTGTTTCTGGTTTTTTTTTTTACCCCAGAATTTTTAAGTGAAATAACCACTTGCTGTGCTTGAGAGCATGAGAGAACAGAGGGAAGAGTGTAGCTGCAATACTCATTGAATGCCATCTATATCCAATAAGGGTGAAGTCCTTTATTCATTATCACTATAACATTGAATTAAACTTACAAGGAGTTTTTCAAGAGAATATTTGAAAAAAATTTCTAAAGAGACAGGGGCATAAGACAACAGATTTACGTGTCTGGGATTTTTTGTGTGTGTTTTGCTTTTGTAAATGTGGTGTACCAATTAAAGCTGTGCTTTTCTATTATTGGAAGGAAAGGATTCAAAGTATGGTGGTCCTTGGTAAGCAGCAATGGTTCATAGATGAATTTTCACTTAAGAAAATGATGTAAATGATTAGCTTTATCTTGATATTCTTGACCTAATCAAAGGGAAGGTGTACTTATGAGGGATGTAATTATTTTGCAACCTAGTGGGGGGGGGGGGGTGTCTACTTAAAATGTTTTTAAGAAATTACAAAATTACAGATAAAATATTTTTCTACAATTCTATACAATCATACTTTATACTAGTTTTCTCAGCATGGCATGTAAGTGAGTCTAAGGTACTGTTCCAGGAAATCAGTGGTATTGTACCTTGTTTGAGACCATTACAACAGCATCTGTTAGATGCTCTGCACTGCTGACGTAGAACTGAAATGCTAGTAACAAAAAATAAATTGTACTGAATACTTTAAATGATTGTTTTATTCAGAGTCTGATCTAGGAAATGTTCCAATGAATCTGTTATTGTGGAAGTAGAACTGTTCCAGATGTAACTATGAGCAGTTCTAGAAAGGTATCATTGCTTGTACTCCTGTCTAATGGCAGGTTTTGTAGTCTTCAAAAGAAATTGAAATTTCTACTATGAATAAACTTTCAAACATCTTAAAGTGCTTTTTTTTGGTTAATTATGTGTTCTGTCCTGTTATAGAAGTTGTTTGTTCATTGCTAACACTGAACCACATTTGGAGCATACCAAGTGTGCATTTCCAGCCCAAGTTCTCAGTAAGCATTTGCCAATTAAAATGTCACTATACTACAGCATATTTACTCGGATGAATATTAGCAAGGTTAATGGGGAGCTGATGGGAAGAAACTTGTGTTCAGTAGATGCTATAGACCAAATATATGACACAGCAAGACCAAAGCACATGATATTGTCTTTTAACACCCTATAAAGACTTCAATCAGCTGTAAAGTACAACTTAAAGGGAGGCTGCTAAGTAATACTTGCAATGCCTGCATTGCTCTGGACATGGAAAATAGAGGCATATTTGATACTTAACAATGAACTTTTAAAAAATAAGAATATTTGCATTAATACACCATAAACAACATACCCACATTTCATCAGCTCACACAACCTGGAAGCCTACAGCGGACATTCTTGTTACTTTCGGTCTTGGAACCTGGAAAAGAGAGAAGGTATTTTTTTCAAGTTTGTCTAGTCTACATAAAACTACATTAATTGTGATGGAGGATGGGGGAGGTCTTGCTAATCGTACCAGAAGCTGTGAGAGGAGGTGAGGTTTGCCGCGGGGCCGATGAGAGCGCAGCAGAAAGCCAGGCCGAGGAGAGGGCAACGTTACCTCCCCCGGGACACTCCCACCCATGCCCGCGGCAGGTGCAGCCCCGTGCCCGCACAAGGCTTTGTCCTGCCTGGCTAAAAACGCTTCGAAATGGACCTTCGAGTTAACGGGGTGAGCCGGGAGCCTCGAGCTCTGGAGAGGGAGAGAGGGGGACGCATGTAACATGGCATCCTGACGATGCTACCTTGCCTCACTTGGAGCTTTCCCGCGAGGTTTTCCCCGGGTCTGGTTTGCTCGCGCTACCCGCTCCGCTGGGAGGCCACCACAAGAAAAGTCCC